TTTCGGAAAAACCGTTAATATTTTAATCGACATATGAATATTGAACACTTAAGCAAAGATAGGAATAAAAATTCAGAATAAAAATTTAATTTTAGGTGCTATGGAAAGTAAATTAACTCACGAATGCCAGCGTATATTAATTTCAGTACTCTTCCAACAATTTAATCATATTCTGTTTTATGATTTGTGGGTGGACTGATTCTCGTTAAAATAAAGCTAGACTTTATCCGAAACTGTTTGAAATTCCATTTTATCTATCCATAATAAGTTACTCATTTATAAGATCATTTCCCTTATTTAGTTCGCAAGTCCATTATTCGTAATTGTAATTCTTCTATTAATAAGCAGAAATAATTAAAGATTTTAGTAGTCCATTATTTCAAAGAAATGATAAAATATACGAAGATCTTAGAATGCTAAAGTTTTCAGTTTATTTTGCCAGAAGTGTGTATAAACAAATTTCATTAACACTAGAAACTGTTAACTGCAATTCATGTGAAAAGCACAGACGCTTCAGAACTGTGCTAAGATTACTCTAACTACCACCTCTTAATGGGGTAGGGATGATTTATATATTCCTGTTCAGCTATTAGAATACTGCCAATTAATTATCTTTATTCCAAACTTTATGGATAGCTGAAATCGACTTCTTTTTTCATGTCAAGAAAGTAAATAGGTTCTGTTGCAATACATTATAAAATAACAAAATTAAGGAGGATTTTAAGAAAACAGGAAACATGGTTTTATTGTTACTTTTCCATGTGAAAATGGATATTGAATAATGATGAAACAGAAATGAAACTCTGACATGAAACAGAAACCTAAATGAATTGAATGCAATGTTACGTCATCGGATACATCGGAAGAACTCGAAAGAAAGGAAATATACACCAAGTTAAATATAATTTTCCTATATTTTGAAGCAAAGATTTTCTTTTTCTTTCTTTCTTCCACTTCCCCTTTCTTTACCCTGAAAAATAATAAAATGTAAAAATGAATATATTTTCATTTTAGTTTTTTTACGTTAAGTTACGTGGTTTTAATTGAATATACTAAAAGCTAAAAAGGTACAATTTTTAGCTGTTGTAACATTCTTGATTATATGTGACTAAAACTAAAATTGAGGAAAGGTTACATAATAGTACTACGATATTAAGTGAATTTTAAGGAGCGATAGATGAGATAGTATAGAAATGACATATTTATGAATAAATAATTAAAATTCTCGTTGACAATTTTGATTTAAAATGTATCGTTTTTAGTAGATATAGAATTTTATTTTTAGTCATACTATATGCGACTAGTTTAATAGCCAAAATTTTTTTTTTTTAACTTTTCGTTGCATTTAACTACAGTTATTTGCCACTTAAAGAGTTTTGAAATCTTTTTAACAAACTTATTTCATAAGAATATTGAATTTAATTAAATAAATTTAATTTAAATACAAATTTAATTAAATATAAATTAAACAAATTAAATTTAAATTTTAACAAAATAAAAGGAAAAAAAGCAAATTTAAAACAAAATTTAAAAAAAAAAAAAAAAAAGTGCAAACATATACAAGATTTAATTCTTGAACTAATCTACAATATCATTTAAATTCAGAAGCATAAGCAAATCAAGTGCAAATCCAATAAATTCTAACAAACTTATATATACATATATTTTTCACCTTTGTACCAAAAGTCTTGAATTTATATGACAATTATGCATGCTTTTATTCCTTGAATCTCATGTCCGCTAGCACTGTGTAAACTGTAACTTGAATGGAAATTATTCGTATGAAATGTGGAAACTGCTGTCAGTCACTGTTGTGAAGAATGTGTACACAAGCTTTTGAAACCGGGCTCCGCCCTAACAAAACAAAACAAAACACAAGCTTTTGATACTATAATCTGTGCTTATGAAGTCTGTCTGAATGGCTCTATGTGCCGTGCCAATAATGGCGTCATTTACATTACGATTGATATTCAATTCAAATGACAGTCAAAAGCAGAGTTTTTTTTATGTATACTTTTCTCATTTACGCGTCAATGAACGGCCGAGCAGTGAATCATTGACCACTGCTGGTAGTTCATCTCTGGTTCACATCTAGGCAAACGAGGTGGCAACATGGAGATTTTCGCGGTTTTTCCTCCTGTGTAAATTTCTCTCTTTAAACGGGCTAGTTTACCTTTTAAAAGTCTTCCATGAGACCATTTCTGCTCTTAGGGAGACATGCCCAGCATGCTTTGTGATGTTGAAATTCCGCGTGGCATCACGCATGAGTCAGAAGCCATCGCGGCGGTGTAAAGTGAGTACACCTCTGTAAATTGGATTATGGGTATTGTATCTCATATTTTATATACATTTATCAAATTTTATCTAGATATGATTTTATCTTTGCGTCATGGTTTTAAATCTGAGCAGAATTTTAGAATTTTCTTGGCGGATATTGAGGTTAATGGATTTAATGCTATTAAATTAGTTTTTCATGATCATAATCACTAATTACTAAACTGTCTTACCTGTCTTAGCTAATTTAGTATGATAATTAATATAATTTTGTGTGCTTGCTAAACGTTCGTGACTATTCAAAACCTGATTATTAACAACTAAGAAAGACAAATTTCATCTATAAACTAGAAAGTAAACGTATTTATTCGGCAGTTTATTTAGATTGCTATTAATTATTCTTATGAAAGAAATTACCGTATCATAACAAATGAAGATGGAATTTCATTTGAACATTTTTTATACAGTGTTAGTTTTCATAAGTTTCAAATTTATAATATGCCAGTTTTCAGTTCAAAACTCTTTATTCACAATTAATCAGAACAATACTTAATTCTGTCTTTTAGGAATTTCATTGGACTTTCCTGTTATTTTCTTCATAACTTAATGCTATTTTAAAAAAGTCACCGGACACTTTACTTTTTTATTATTTATCATAGACATACTTCTAGTTAAAAAGTCTGTAATTAGATATTGTTACTACCTATTTTACTAATTATAGGATAATATTAGGTTAACATACATCAAGTTAAAAAATCTCAGCGCTGTGAGATGAGAATTTCAGAAGCAAATATTAACTTTTTATTCTGTATCTATGGATTAAAATTTCCATTATGATTTTAGGAAAGAAGCTTCATAGCTTTATGTAAAAATTTCTGTGAGATATGGTTGATAAATATTTTCTCTAAAAATAAGGGAATCGACTGTAAATTTATTGACAAATGCAGTTTTACCCAAGACGAAACGATTAATTGCCGAAGCAACTTCTGTTTTGAATTGGATAAAACAGCATTTGTTAATGAGCAACTTCTGTTTTGAAATTTTCCTATAAATTCTTGAACTGTGCTCCTTCTTAAAAAATTCGAGTTGCACTGGTTCACAGGGTAAAAAAAATTATATGGACACCACATGAATTTCTTGTACGCATACTAAATTACGCAAATTTTTTCTGCACTTCATTTTAAACTTATTTCATTTGAAAGTGAGATACCAGCTTCCAATTCAAAGTGCCCTTTTGGTACTGCTGTTAATTTTAACATTCTATAGCTAATCTCTTTTGAGTTATGCCAGATACATACGTGAGTACAGACGTCACGCCGAAACTAAACAAAAGTCCCAAAGACAAAAGTTCAGTATTTTACCGCGAACCGTTTTTCAGTTATGTGACACACGTACGTAATTGATATTTCGGTTGAAATTTAATAACCAAAATTTTTCGCGATTACAATACTTTCTTTACTTCGTACAAAGAAGTAAACTATGGTGTATGTATATCCAGTAGTACATTTGCTTTTGAGGATTTTTAATAATTTTGTAAGTTAAAGGTAATGAAAGGTTAATTTTTCACTAATTAAAGTATATTGAATAATATGCCTACTGGAATTTTAACTCTGAAGGGAATTAAGTTAATTTTAATTTTCTTTTACAGAAATTCTCTCCAACCCCAAGGTGAGACTTTTATGAAATTCCGCATCTTATGTTAAGGAGCTTTGTAATTTGAAACGAATAATTAGGATCGATATTTAAAGAATAATGCCCGTAACCAGCTCTTTCGAACACTTTATTAATAGGAGTCAAATGTGATTCAGTCATATGTTAACACTTTTTGGTACTTCTTTGTTATAGCGGCCGAAACTGAATTGCCAATCAACCAAGATATCTCGTCAAAATCTGGCCACGTGTTCTTAAACCTCGCCACGTGACCGTATATTAGCACCGTGTTGCATGTTTGCTCTCACCGCGTGTTCTTATGTTATTATTAATTTTAAATGAGGTTTTCGAATTCGCATTGTTTATTTAAAAATATATTCATTGCTTTTTATGAATGAGTTGATAATTTTTAATTTACCAAGTAATTAGGTGCATGCCATATCATATTTCAAGAAAGAGGTATTTTACTTGACAAACAAGTATGCGAAAATGGCCACAACATGAAACTTTATGTTAACGACGAAACCATTTGGAAATGTAGAGTTAAAAATTGCAAAAAAAAAAGAAGGGCCTTCGTGTTGGATATTGGTTCAGCGGTTCCAGAATATCGTTCGCCACTGCTATTAAATTTATGTATTTTTGGGCAGAGGAGTTGACGTCCATGAAATGGTGCAACAAACAGCTTAAGTGTGAAAGTACTGCAGTTGACAAGAACAATTGCATGTAATAAAATAATAAGAATTCTTAAAAATATTCTCAGGAAACGACATGTGAGTAATTATTGCTATTATTATACATTGTGTTTATTTTTACATTCGTTCTTCACGAGCTTGGCGAAATTATAACTGAGATCTTAGTGCAAATTTAAAATTACCAAATATGGTTTGGGGCCGCTATAACAAAGAAGTACCCATTTTTTCGATCATTTCATTTTTAAAATGCAATCAAGAATTTATTTTAATTAATTAAATTATTTTATAACAAAGGAGTATCCATTTTTTCGATCATTTCATTTTAAAAATGCAATTAAGAATTTATTTTAATTAATTAAATTATTTTATTTTTATTAATCATAGGTGCCTGTATGATAGTGGGCGTTGTTTCCTTCCCCGCTGGTTGGGACTCGGATGCAGTGAGAGAGGTTTGCGGTCCAGAAGCAGATGATTATGATATTGGCCAGTGCGGTGTTCGATGGGCATACATACTGGCAACCATTGGGATTTTCGATGCAGTCATCCTGGCAGCTCTAGCGTTTCTTCTTGCTACTCGTTATGTAAAAATTACTCCATCCGAACCTCTTGTACCTAATGGTTCTATTTACAAAGGTATGTTAACACGAAGTTATAAAATGTAGAGGTTCACTAATGTAAAATATAACTAAGGTGTGTAAGTGCTCTTTTAAACTTAAGGCACTAAGTTTAGCTTTCTGCTTCAAAATATACACATACTCAAACATAACGTAAACTAAAAGGTTGATAGAAATAGAAATGCGGTATTACTCGGACTTCTTTTTAATTTTCAATAAATTAAAACATATGACATGTTACAAATATTTTCTTTTCTTAAATAAAAATTAAGGTACTCTTGCATTGTCCCGTCGACCATGAAAATTGGCTAAAATCGAACCACGAAAGTTAGCAGAGATTCCGCTAAGTCTTCTTGCAGAATTCTGACGGAAGTGACTTCTGTTTATCTAATAAACAATCAATAATCGACCCGCTTCGTGAAAAAGCTCTCTCCGCTATATTATTAAGCCCCTCGATGTTGCGTTTAGGATGCTATGAAAAGGAATTTCCCGCAGGTAACTGCTTCTATCTATGACTGTTTTTTCGGCCATATTCAGTTGACCATATATTATCCATTAATACAGGGCGGGAGGCACGATGGTGCAAAGCACGTCGGCGGCGAAGACTTAGGTGCAGTTCACGTTAAGCAGGCGCCTGGGCAAAAGCCTCATCCTGAGGGTAACGAAAGGTTCGTTCGCATGACGTTTTCTGAATGGCATGCTTGCAGAATTCATGACTGAGGGTGAAATTCTCAGTACGTCCTGGTAAGTAAGTCTTCGCATATAAAAATCCAAGGTTAATCTACTAAAATGTCCCGAAGAATCATCAATTAAAACCTAATATACAGGCAGTAGTCGACCCGTATCGTCTGAATTCCAACTGGTGATCTAGTGGGAGGGACAATGGGCGGCGAAATGAGGTCTCTGCCGAAAATATCGCGGCAAATACATCGTGGACGAAAATATCGCGGAGAAAGAAACGCAAGGCGAAACATCCTCGGCTCAGGCGTTCCTTCGTGAGTTGCAAATGGGGCACCCGCACTTCAGCGCAATCTCAGGATAACACCATAGACGATTTTCGATTGCATTTTAATTGCGAAAGTAGTAAAAGACATATTTCAGCATAAGGTCAATAGAATAAAGCAATTAATGGCATAAATATGCGAGTCTAGACTAGAGATACAATGGGCCAATCGACACAAGGATCAAGGAAGTGCAATTTACGAAGTTCATAGGCAATTACGCCTTTACCTCCACATCTTCAAAGGAATTTACATCATCAAAAAGAGGGGATTGTCAAATAGGGTAAAAATTTTGAGAAGCCGAATGACTTGGAATAAGTGCCTTCACACTGGGTCAAAAAAAGGCAAAAAACTCAGAAGGTCTTAATTTTGCGCCGAAAAAGGGCCAGAAGAATTTAGATAGGGACAGCCATAATAAAATTTTGACTAGAAAAATAAAAGGTGAAGTTTCCTTGAACCTTGATAATCATGTTTTACATACGTCAGAAGCGAAAAATACGCAGGGGAATTTCCGATGCGCGTTCTTCAGGGTGGGAGGGAGGGGGAACCTGTTTTACAGGTCGAAAAAGTAGTTCTGCCAGTGATCAGCTGGGAGGGAGAAGTTTTCGTTTTTTTGACCGCTATTCAATGCGGTATTTAAGGCCTAAAATGACGTTGTTAAACGCCTGAGAAAGTTCCTTTTTAAAGGAAGAAAAGAGCAGTATTTAAATTTAAGTATTATTCAGTTTAAATCAATTCAAAAGTTAGAAAATATTTTAATTCAGTCCTTTTTGACTGTGATGTTTCTTATTAAAGAAACGTTAAAGGGGGTTCCTAGGGTTAATGCTGTGTGCATTAAAGAACTTTAGAGGCGGAGGGGATTAAGGAACGAGAGGTAGTTATTCACATGGCTGTCAGTGTGCTCATATCTATCCCGTTTAAATGGGAGAGCTGAATATTCCTGGTCAATCGACACAGTCCGCTACTTGTGGCGCCAGCCAATGAGTACTAAATACAAGCAGTAAGAGTTCGTGGATAAGCAAAGTTCATATGCAGTAGGTAAGAAGAAATGCCGGTATGCTCCGAAGGAAGGAGTGTATGGTGGTGAAAACAGTCAGTAAGCGCGGAGTACACAGTTAGAAATAGCAAGCCAGCAATATTACATAGTAATATAGCAATAGTATACAAACATAGGTAATCGATAGTTACTTAAAGTAATAAATATTAAATGACATATAAAACAGTAGCATGGGACTCCAATAACAAAGAGTGAAAGGGAAGACGTACGGTAGGTGGAATGTGGGTGTGTGGTGTCGCAATTGAAAGATACAAAATAATAGTACGGAATATCAGTGTAAGTAAGGTGTTATGAGAAAGTTGCAGTACGGAATATCAGTGTAAGTTAGGATATCTCTTCAAGAATGAGGCGTAATATTTGCATTTTGTCTAACAAGTTGTTGCATTCTTTTAAGTTCCTTGTCATATTACATTTGAATAACTTTGCCAATTTGGAATCCAAATAAGTCTTGTACTTCTTTCATTACACTGAGTAATTCTCAAATATCTGAGCGATTACCAGGATTATCTGTTTTATGACCTGAGCAAGATTTATCAGGTTGAGAATTGTTATTTTTGGACATGCTTACTGGGACATTTTGGTTTGTGCTATAAATGCGATTGGGCGCAACAGCCAGTGCATAGGCTACTCCTGGCTGGCTATATGGAAGATTGTATGATGGAAATTTAGAGCAACCTGTATATGAGGCCAAGTGAGGGCCTAGGCAATTCGCGCACTTGGGGGTATCCAGGTGCCCCTGATGGTCATAATTACCAGTTCTATTATGGCTTGCACATTGAAAGACCATGACAATTCTCAGAAGAGTGGTGCCGAGAACCTGGGTTTTAAAGACGTATTTTTCGACCTTAATGCCAAATAACATAAGATAGGTTAGGTGATAAACTTCATCAATTTTCTCATCTTTCGTTTTATATTTGGTCAACTGTACAATTTTATGCACATTATAGCCTAATTCAGTAAGAGAATCTTTAATAATATCAATATGAGTCAGAGGGCAAGCCCTGAATAAGTACCTTGATAGGTTTTTTATGGCATGGGTTAACAACAAAATGTTCTAAAGATTTGTCTAAGAAATACTGACTTAAGGGTTCCATCAAAAGTTCAAAGTGGTTCAACTTTGAAGAATTCGCCGCTTCTTGCACTTTGGTAGTGCGTCAGAAAGAGCTTTCAAATAGTCATAAAATTTAGTTCCCTGCGTGAGTTTAACCATAATGGGTGGTACTTTGCTTTTCATTAACATTAGAACTATTAGCACTTAAGGCATTATCATCATTAGATACAGTATTACTGAGCATAACATTGGTACAGTTTCAGAGTTATTACACATATTATCAGAATCAAATTTTAATGAATTTAAAATTTTGCAATGAAATAGAGGGCTTAGGATTACTGGTTTTAATAGCTTTAACTGTCTTAGTAGGCTTTTGAAAATTAGCATCAGAATCATCCCTATTATCAGAATTATCATTTTTACGTCGTCGGACAAAACATCGTGGGAGAAAACATAGCAAGGAGATACCATCGCAGCTCTAAAACACCGTTCTACAAACCATCATCACCGAAATTAAAGTGCTTCAAAAGCTTCGCAGCTTAAAAACATCGTCGTCGAAAATATCGTAGTAAAAAATAAAGTACTTACAAATCATTTGCTTGACGAATAACATCGCAGACATGCATTTTTCAGATTTTAAAGTTGCAAATGCATATCCATATAATGATTTGTGAGATGAAGATAGAATGAGGAATATTTTTACTTTTATATTTCATATTTTTGAATTAGCCAATAAAATTTTGCTGAAAAAAATAAATATATTTAAAAACTAAAATGAGTAGAAAACTAACATACGTATAGCAGTTCATATAATTTTAAACTAATATAGTAATTAATGAAGGCCACTAATTAATTCATCTCCATTATATATTATGTTTTACTGGCAATTTTTCGCGCAAAATTTAGTCTAAAAAAGATTAGAAAAAGAAATACGAATAACTGCATGTAGTTACCCCTATTAAGATTGTTTAATGAATTATCAAATTATAATATTCTGTGAACTGCTTAAGTAGCATTAGTTTTCGCCTCATTTTCAATTTCTAAATGCTTCAGTTTCCTTCCTAATTTTTCAGAAAAAATTTATTAGTTAATTTAAAAATATGAAATGTAAAAGTATTCTTCCGCTCACAAATCATTATGCGAATAAGCACTTACATCTTTTACAACTGAAAAACGCATGTCTGCGATGTCATCGTCATGGTATGATTTATAGGAGCCTTATTTTTTACCATTTTCGATGATAATTTTTTAAACTGCGAAGTTTTTTATTAGCCTTTATTTTCGACGACAATATTTTGTACTATTATGTTTTCTCGTTGGTTTCTTTTCTCCCATGATGTTTTGTACGACGATGTTTTCCCCTTGCGTTATTTTCTCCTGTAACCATCATTAATAATGCCGTGCTTCATGTTTAGAAACACCTAATCTTCGATTATTTAAATTATCTGAGACAATAAAGCATTGCATTCCGTAGAATATATTGGTTGGTCTCCCAAATTTTCTTTCATTTTTGTCTTTAGAGCTAGCATTCAGCCTATCTAGATTCTGTAATGCTTGAATAATAGTTTAACTTGCCAGAATCTCATAAATTCTTTAAATGAAGCATTTCAGCAACTTTACAAATGCATTTTACAAATTAAGAACAAACTGTCAAATAACTGGTCACACATGCTTTTCAAGAAGTCATGACTGTAAAATTTTAAATAACATAAATTCTGAGAAAACTTTACTGAAAAATTTAAGCAGACGATTTTTAAGATACTTCCTATTATCCTATAATTATGTTTCGTAGCAAAACGATATCCAAAGTTCATTTGTTGCATTTATTTTAAATTATTTTTTGAGTAAAGTCCCATTTACTTCTGTGAGACGATTTTCCAGCTCTAAAGATAAAATGTGAATTTTTGAGTTAAATATTTTATTCTTGGAAAGGAATTTTTACTAAAATACGAAGATTAGGTAAATGTTATTTCTTAGAAAATCACGTTTTATAATTCGCTTCTATTTATTATATATTATTATATATTTTTTTTAAATATGTAATATTACAAGTCCCGTCAAAAATAAAACAGAAATCGAAAAAATACAGGATATCTAATAAAATATTGAAGAACTGTTAAAAAAAATGCCCATTGTCTTCGATATAACTTAGGAATTTAGGTTAAGTAAGTTGTATTTTATTTAAATAGAAGTTAAAATTCGAAAGTGACTATAATATACTTTTCTTAACAACCAATAAATTCAAGCAACAAAAGAAAAGGGAATACGTAAATTGCTTCCCCCCACACATTTTGCGATGCTTTAGAATGTCATGGTTGGTAGGAAACGGAAAATCGTTTCTCCGCAAGGTAGCATTCTCATTTTTCTCACCTGCTTCCGGTATAAGGAATGACAGATGTTCTATTGTGAATTGGGTTCAGGTTTGTCTCTTCAAGAATGGTTCTGAATTTTAAGTTTGCAGATCTTCTTACACTGCCAAAATTTTAAAGAATAATTGTTAAACAACGGAATTTATCAGATTTCTTAAAACATAACAAATAGCCAATATGAAGGGAAGAGAATTTAAGCTATCTTTATATTGGCAACAGATAGCGTTCGTTTTTGAGAATTAAAATTTATGTCAATGCAGAGATGGTGCAGTTCTCTTACCAAGAGTTGGATTAATCGTTAAGGAAAATAAACACGTGCTTAAGGCATCAAGGATAGGGGGCACCACAAAAAGATCCTCGTAATCATGGAAAGGGGGTACCACAAATAATACAATAAACTTTGATCTTAATTTTTGTAATCCTTAACCGAATAAAATCGAATTACCTTAATTTTTTTTTTTTAATATAATTAACGAAAACTCGTGAAAATATTTCATTCAAATAAAATTGTTCTGGGAAAAGTATAGCGTTTAATTCCGTTCAGAATGAAATGTTGTTTAAAAATGCATTCTTTTCAAATACTTAGAGCACTGAAATATTGCAGAAAAAGAAAAGATATGCATTTATACGTATATTTACGACATAATTACAAAATGTTTACATCCTATTATGTCAAAACCCATTGTTCTTAAATAGTAAGTCACTGAATATTTCGGCCTCCACAAATGGATCGCCACTGCTTCAAAGCAATGAATGGGGCAAACCAATTAGACCCTCTCCTCTTACTTACTACCTCCATGGCTCTTTCTCAGCATAAACTCATCGCGATTAATGGACTTTGGAAAGTAGTGGAAGAAAAATGGAAATCAATACCCCTGAAAATTTTACGAAAACCCTTCTTATTATAAAAATTACGATAAAATTCAGAAAAAAGTCTATCAGATCGAGCATTTAAAAAAATATTCTACATTTTAAGCATTAATTAAACGGTCCGAAATCATTTTAAAAATGTCTAAACACCCTCAATAATTACATGTTTAATTTTTTTTTTCATTATTGTAAAGGAAGTAATTTATTAATTCATTATTAAAGTTTAAAATGTTTTATAATCATTAATTATAAATGCTTACTAGATCCAAAACCTCTAAAACGTATCAAGATAAATCCGGCAATTGCATCTCTTGAATAGGCACATATTTTAATGTTAAATAAATATAAAAAGAGAAAAAAAAGTTATAATTTAAAATGAAATAAAAAGAAAAAGTAACACATTCCCTGAGAAGCTACAGCAACCAATAGAATAAGATATTCTATCTAAATGAAACGTGCGCATAGTAGTTGTTTTCCTTTTCGAAAATTAATGAAAGTAAAGCTAAGGGGTGATAAAAAGCATGATGTCTTTTTATTGGCACTCAACCAACGTCTTATTTCTTACCTTGACTTCTTGTTATCATATAACTCTTTCCTACAGAAAATAACAGCAAAAAATATTAGTTAATAATACAACCCTAGATCAAAATTTAAAATATTGCATCTAACATTTTATTAAAATAACTGAAAAATAATAATTAAAATAATTTTATTAATAATAATAATAATAATTTTTTTCTTTTTCTTTTTAGGTGAGGTCAACAGTGCTTTCCTGGCGGATACACAATCCTTAGCTTCTCGCAAATCATTAGCTTTGCAACCAGTAGTTCTGATGCCTCAAGCTAGAGACCCAGAACGTATATCAGAATTTTCTCAGAGGACAGGAAGATCCAAAGCCAGTCATTATACATCATCTGTTCACAATTTTCAGCTTTAAATAAGACTGTAGGATGAGAGAAAGAATCATGAATAACTTGCGAGCAGAATGTTCTCCAGAATGCATTTTGTATACTAACATAATTCCTAAGTAGATGCCACTAACAACTCATCATTCATAAAAAAATAATTTATTGACTCTTTTGTAATATATATGCATCGAAAGGGTCGTAAAATGCTTCTATTAAAGGGTCAGATAAAGTTCCCAAATTATCTGATCGCTTGCAATCACTCTGACATGAGAATGCTCTCAACGCATTTGAATAATGACAGGGACAAATAGCTAACTCTGCTGTGATCATAATTCTGCAGTTATTTTCATGTTTTGCAATCAATAGTTAAATTGCATAAGTATATAATTCTAATTTATTTACTAGGATTCTCTCAATATATTTATTGTGAGCTGTTATTAACAGAACTGTGGAATGTGAAGATTTTTCAGCTTATATCTGATATCTTTTTCTGTTGTAAAATACCCTATATTGATGAAATAATATTTTCTCCTTGGCTATTTTGACTGCATAATGATGTGGGTTGCAATACATTTACTTGACATATATTTGAGAATGCTTAGGGTAATTATTTTCCCTATAAGGAGGGACGGATTAAATATATATATATATTACATTAAATTAATATTATTTAATGTAATATATATATATATTTAATTTTACTGAAATAATTTTAAAGGTTGCTATTTCATTTTAAAGTTACAGGGATGAAAATTTCAATGAGTTATAAATAAAAAAAACATTGTCATCACATAAAAAGGTAATAAATTAGAGATTACCTTTTACATTTTCCAGCAAATTGCTATACAGTCAAAAGTCGTTAATTCGGACATCCATAATCCATAATGATCTATAATCCGGACCTCAAAGCTACAAACTTCCTGCGCATGCGTCAAGTTGACGCATGCGCGTAAGACCTTTACGGCTGTGAATGCGCATGTGCGCATAATACGTTTACGCTTGCGCATTCAATGTATAACGGACGGTATAAGCTAAGCTAAAATTATCTAATTCAGTTAATGTTGCAGATCGTGTTGTTCCTTAATCTTTGAATTAGATCTGGCTTATTATTTTTTGCAGACTGTTTAGAGCAATTTTATAAAAGTAAGCTTGAACTTTCGATTATGTCAAATAGAATTTCCGATATATATTTACTAATATGTAAAGGATCTACAAAGCGAAAGTATGTTTCGAAGTCCATTAAACAAAAAGTGAATTGCTGCAAAAAATGGACAAAGGCATATCCTCCTTCGTTTCTCTAACCATTCCGAATCTGTTTATCAATTTCACGCCGCTCTGCGGCAGGGGGAAACGCCGTGGCGAGCAATTAATTGGAAGTTAATCTGTCAGCACTATCCTTATCTTCAGGGCAGATGTTTTTATTTTATTTGGCTTGTAATTCCTTACTAAATGTAGTATTTCATCTCGATGTACTCCGTCTTTGATATGATTTAAATCAAACTCCTCGTCATTATAATTCGCTTCCGATAAAGAAGAAAGTGATACAGAGGTTACTGAAAACGAAACAACTTACATTGAAAGAAATGTTTAATAAAGTAAACAAATAAATATTAAGCTTTTTTTTTTTTTGTAAATTTTGATACCCTTTAGATCATAATTGTTCTTTATTTCATAAATTACGGTTTCATATTTTTAATTTCTGCATGCCATCTTACCAGATTTAAACTGATGATCTCTAATACGGAATCGCCGAAGTCCCGATTAACGACTTTTGACTGTATTATAAATATACCACTGCAACTATACATTCCAAAAGTGAACGATGCCAACGATGAATGTTTGTGAATAACTTTTTGAGGCATTCAAGTTGTTAACTCTAAAATTGATATGTTTTTAATTGTTTACTCAACAATTGTCCCACTCCGGGGTCGTAAATGCTGACATTCTAATAGTCATGACTCTGATGGTATAAAATACACGGAACTGGTTCCTACTGTCCAAAAGAGCAGCTTGTGCTGTTCCATTGATTAGTGGCTATAGCCATCTGGAGTGGAAGCAGGACGGCCAGTTCCTCGTAACTTCTTCGTTCCACACCTAGCATGGAGTGTTAAGCTCTGCAAGCCACAACTTCTGCCTTAAATAGAGGGCATTAAATGGGCAAGCCGTGCAGCGCATATATATGTTGTGGTGGAACACGCATATCTTTTGTTAATTACTCCATGACTTGAAAGTTCATGATTCTTAAAATTCATTTAGTTTGAAAAAGCTTTTCACAACTTTAGTTCATAATAAAAATCTATATACATATAAATAAACAAATAAAAATAGAATTCTTTGGATTTAAATAGAAATTTTATTTCTGAACACAATGAAATATTGAAGTTCCAAAGTTATTTTGAATAGAAATTTTATAAAACAGTTTGTTGCAATGATGTATCAAAAAAAATTTTTTTTAATGTTAATATATCTGAGATTTATGGACTTCTAAAAAATAATTATCATTAATACTGCATATAATTTTTTTTCTTTTTCCAATAACTTCTATGGTTTTAGTTTTATGGCAAGCTAACTTGTATCTTTGTTACATATGGGGGAAATTACAAAGGGGCCCAAGCAGCCAGCCCATTCCTTGGAATTTGAACTCTGTTCGAACTAAAATGTTTAGTTACCGTACAGCTCGGCCACTTGTAACCACATAAACTTCTGTGAATGTTTCTTGTAGATTTCAAAATGCTGAATACAGATACAGTACACACTTTCCACAATTACTCACCTATTTGAAGGGAAAGGACTACTAAATGTTTTAACATTGCTATAAAATTAGTGTTTATATACTTTATATCAAATATGAAAATTTAAGCAATTCTAATAATTGCAGCTTAAATATACTGAATTATAAATATCTGTACTTTTATTTTACTGTAGTTGTAAAATTTTCATCCAAAAAAATTCAAATGGGGTACAGAAGATTATGCGAGAGGCTGCATCGAATGTTTTGTTATAGAAGTTCTAAAATGTCATTGTTACTTATTTTGCATCAAGATTGCATGAAAAGGAAGGCAGACTTTGATCAAGATTTTGAAACTGAAATTTTCTTGAAGATTCATTATTCCTTATTAAATCTTAAAACATGCTTATGACTCAGTTTGAAAGTTCTTGTTGATACTGACTGAAAAACTAGTATATATTGTTGTACTTTACATTATTTTAAACTTTTTGTAAATAAAATTATTTATTAATACTAGAAAAGTCATTTTAATTAGCCATATAATTACATATGAATTAATAACTTTTTTGTGCCAACAATCACAAAACTTAATCCAGGCTGTTAAGAAATTTGTAATTTATGATTTTAAAGCAGTGGTCTTCAAATTGTGTTTTGCAGAATCTTGGGAGTTCCACAGATCAAAATATTATGTGTACCATAACATTAAATACATAATTAATTAAATCATATTTTGTATTGTAATTTAAAGTACGAAGTGGACTTGAGTAAAATTATAAAAAAATGACAATTTTTATTTTCTCATGAAATGTATATAATATTAATGTACTTTGACTCAAAAAAAGTAGGGTTTAGAGATTCTGTAGATAATGTTTGAAAACTGTTTTAACAATTACTACATAATCTTGAATAAAGGAGATGTGGAAACCTCCCCCACCCAATTTTTTATCATCTGCAGTAATTCATTTTCCTATCAATTTGTTTGATTACAACTCCAGCTTCATTTTATTCATTACCTAATTACCATGTTATATACAGTGCCTGTGTTTATATTTTGAATTTAAGTATGAAAATGAGAGATTTAAAAAACAGAGAATAAATCCTTCGAGACTTGGCGATAAGACTAGACAAAGGTAGATAAATGATTTTATTTTGCAACTTAACTCAAAGTTTGCACAACAATGAGCAGTAAAGTTAACAAAATAAATGAACTCACGAAATTACCAAAATATTCACTGTACATAATGCTGTGGGTAAAAACATTAATCAGATGAGTGTATCTATGCCACACATACTTTTCTCTTCTAATGCAAGATTTCTGGCTTTGACTGTAATATATCATTTTGCAACTAAAATTTAAAAGTGCATTCTAAATATACCATGATTAATTTCAGTATTTCATCACTCCATAAAATAAACTAAGTATATTTATGGTATGCATTCAAAAGAACCCAACAAAGTGAACATTCTTTCATATCAATTCTTAGAAGTTATTATTTTGGCCCATAAGAAATAAATTACCCCCCCCCCAAATGACCACTGATATAGTGCCCAGTTAACTGAACTGATTTGTGTCATTTCACTCAGAGATGCCCTCTGTATTTCAGAAAGTCTCTTTTCAAATAGCAAATTAAGGCATTAATGACAGCATCAAGTAATGTTGAGTCGGAGCACTTGGAAGCCCCATTCTTCCATCAAGGAAGTTGCAACTGTATGATGATGGGCTGGGAAGAAATGCAAATTAACCGCTTCCCTTACAAATTTTTTTTGAAAAAAATTGCAAAAAATCATCACATTTTTTATTTTATTATTATTATATACAACAAAACGAAACAAATCAAAATATGTAGGTTTTAAGTTGATTTTTTAATTTTTTGAAGGTGTAAAAGCATTTATTTTTAATATTAGTTTACTATCCCGAGTTATCTCGGGCAAACGAAAAAAAGTTAAATATTAATCTTTGTATGATAGTTTTTGAAACAAGGGACAACACAGAGTGATACCTGACATTCTACAATGGTATCTGGTCTTTTTTCTTACTGGCTTACCGCTGGAATCTCTTTCACGGGAGCACAGAGTACACCGTCTCGTTGGATTTTATTTATTTATTTATTTATTTTGATTTTTTTCCCCACCTCTTCATAATCACTATCTGAAAAATCATCGCTTTCGTTATCTTCCATCATCGCCATTATTTTATTTTTTTCCAACGCATGCATCCTTCTTTATACATTACTAATCCACAAGCCAACGTATACTGTACAATGGGGAAACACTCGACCAATCCCTCCAAAAGAACCGTGTAACCAACAAAATTTGGCAAACTGCCAATCATCACAATATTATTCCTAATATTGTGATCCTAATTCCTAATAATCTGCCTAAATATTATTTCCTTTCATTTCCTCCAGACCGAGTAAAACCATGATAAAAGAAATCGTACTATTAAATTCTGCTTCGCCGGAGTTTTCTCGGGATAATAATTAACTGCAATATATACGAACCCGAGATAACTCGGGATAATCAGGCAAGTGGTTAAATATTTTTTTTCCACTTTGTTATGTATTCAGTGTCTGAAACATTAGTTGGATGTGGAGAAAAAAATAACACTCTGAGAGTCATTAGCTTTATTGCATATATTCTGAAGAAACCTTTTCTTAAAAATGTAATTCTTTTTATAAAGTATCTTTCCTTTTATATACAGTAACAACATTCCTATTTTTTCATACAGTATGAATTCAAAAGCATACAGAAATATTTAGTCAACAATAAAATCAGCTATAAGAAAAGTACAATACAAAATTTTGTTCAAATTTTTGAATGGAACAGAAGACAGAATATAGAAATTCAGAAAAAAAAAAGTGCAATTAATAAACCTTTTAGTATCACAAATATAAAAAACTCCAAACTTTTGCAACGTTCTGCCAAACTTTATAAACAAGAAAGCTATTTCAAGCTCAGTGTAAACAATTCTTACTTCAAAAACAAAAACAACAACAAAAAAATGTAACCAATCTTAATATTTGTTAAGAAATATTACAGGAATAAAGAAACAAACAAACAAACAAACAAACAAAAAAAAAAAAAAAAAAAAAAAGGTTTCTGCATTTAAGGCTCCAGGAAGATGGGAAATACATTTAGCTAGGCATTTTAAATTTAAATTATGTACCTGAATGCACTAACTTCATAGCACATCACACAGCTCTTGAGTTTTTAAAAATAAGTGCAGATTACTTACTATTTAAATACACAAAAAAGGAAAAGAACTTCGATTTTGTGGGAGCTATAATTCTAAATTTACTTGCTTACACATGATAAAGAATCACTCATAAAAACATTGTTTTTCGATACTACTCAAATGAAAAGTAATTAAAACAATTCCTCTAAACATTTCAGAGAGTAAACCATTTAAAATTCTTCAGATATATTTACAGAAATAATGAATTCCTGGAAATAATATATTAATTTCCAATCAATTAAAATGAAGCAGCAACTAACAGTATAAGATAATTACAATCAAACCTTGGTAATTCACAAAAATTGATTATTTTAAAACATTATAACAGAATTTATCTATCAACTTAGTTTTAAGCTAATTTTATAATGATTTAAAAATATCAAATATAAAGAACTTTTTTTATTTACTTTTATAAATAATAATGCTAAACATAATAATAAATGTTCTTTGAAGGAAGGGATTAATTTCAGCTAATGAAGGATTCTTTTTCTGTCTGTTTGAACTGGATATTGTGAAAGTACGCATTCATTTATACTACCTCACAGTATTCAACTGAGCTTCCTTTAACAGTTAACACAGATCACGTAAAACTGCTTATAATACTATGCTGTGATTAAAGTTGTTAGACCAGAAAAGAATGAAATAATTTCAAAACAGCAATTTGATTTATTATTTTTTTAATACCATAAAACATGTATTTTCACAAAGAGGGGAAGAATCTCCAAATGAAATAAAATTAAAAGAGAATAAAAGATACAAAATATCTTCTCTCTCATTTTTTAAAGTTTCAAGTTGAGAATCTATTAATTTGATCTATTCCTGTCATAATAAAGGAATTTTACTCCCGAAATCCTTTCTATATGACAGTAAAAATATTTCAATTAAAATTTTTATAATATTATCATGGATATTAGAATATGATTCTACTGTTATATTTAGAAGCTTCAGACTCGGTAACCTTCAACTATTTTTCATTTCAATAAATTTTAACAGGATTGAACGATGAGCTCAATTTCTTTTTTCAGCTTGGGATAAATTTACTGTACCTATTCATATATTTTTTGGTAATAATTTATTCAACATCTGTAAAACATAATATGCTAACTGGAACATGCATAAATATTCTTAGTACAATTTTTTTAATTTTACATGTTATTCTTTTGTCACCTTTAATTTCTTCCAACATACTCCTGAAAGTTGTTTTAAAAGAATAGAAATTTCTCAGAAAACAAATACAAAAGTTAAACTGATTCAGCTGACTTTAACATGCCTATTTTTCCAGACAAATATTTTCTCATGGAAAGGAGGTAACTCGCACAGAATTAATATTTCATCAAGGAGTCCAATAAATAACCTAATTAGTTTAATTAAGCAAATCAGATGTGACTGCATGACTAAACTTTTTACTTATATTTTGTGCATGTAAGGTACAATCATTTTTCTTCTCTTGATTGTAATCATTGCTTAATGCACATAAATATTTTGTAAATAATCTGATTTAACAAAGGTTCATTACATACAATAGTAATAATTATTAAGTATAATTTTGATTAAATTTTCTTACGTTTAAAAAAGCCCTATAGCATATGAATATCCAGGTTTGACTGTATTTACATATAAATCATTGTTGCAAAAACTAGTAAATTTTATGTATAGGAATTATACATACAAGAAGTTATTTATAATAAGAATCATTTAAGATCCCATTTTAAAACCACATTCTATAATATTTCAATACACTAAAAGCAATTAAATGTGAAAACATATTAATAACATTACTGAACAGAGAAATATGGATTAATTACTGTTTAAGGACAACAAACTTGCTGCCAATAGTGCATAGATAGACTAAAACAAGAAGCCATCGTGAAATATATTGGATGAGAAATTAAAAATTTATGCAGCAGTAATGAAACTGTTAAAATTCTAAGAATTTAAATTTGGAAAAATCTGTATAAAGGAAAGGACATATAAGGCATATTATATATATAAAAGCATAAGCACATGAAATACATTACATCTGAAATCAATAAAATGCTGTAGTAAATTTTGAAAGAAAATATTTGCATTTTAAAAGTAAATGAACATATTAACAAACTAAAAATGCATATAAAGTTCTTATGAAGGGCAATTCAAAATAAAAATAAATGAGTATAAATAAATACTACTAATCCTGGAATACTAGGATACAAATAAAATTTTGAAACGTGAAAGAAATTTAATACTACAAATGTGAGAATGATAAATGCACAAATGAAGGTGATTCGGCAGTGGTACACAATTTTCACTCGGCACATTTCTCATATGCAGATTTTATTATGATACTTTCCATAAAACAAGCAGGTCAATAAATAGATCTTTGATACAGATGTTAATGAGTATACCACAAATATGATATCAGCTTTATTGACATGTTTAAAAATTGCATAGATATACCTTCTTATAACAAGGTTCTGAAAATATTACAAACCAAAAATTCAACCTTAAGAAGTAAGTCATGTGAATAAATATATGTATGTATGTATGTATATATATATATAAAACTGCCAAAAAAGAAAAAAAAAAGTTCTTGCATGTTAAACTAGTATTAACTTAAGAATTCTTCCCTATTTTCCCAATAATACCTATACAATGTTGTAATGCTTTTTAAGAATATATGATTTTAGGGTTTCTCATCTCAAATAAACTACACACATGTATACTTCTATAAAATCGAAGATTTTGTCTCAATATGGACTTAAAATTAATAACACAATAATAAAAAACATTAAAAAAGCAAATTTTGTACATATATAAATTTATCACAAATGATAAAAACTACACTATACAAATCTCGCATTTCAATACAAACAAAAACTGATTGCTGTACAGACTACATAAAACAATTGTAAGAGAAAACACTACCAGAGTGCCATGTTTTTATGGTAAACAACAATAATGAACTAGGTAACCTTGATTTGTAAGGTTAAAGCATTATTCATGCATAGACAGTGTTGGGAAATATTTCACACTCTGTATCAGAACAATCTATATACATACAGGTAAATTACAATGACATACATTGCTATATCTATACAAGCATTCTGACAAAATGCTTATAATACAAAGGTGGATAGTCCATAAAAATGAAGCCGTAACAAAAGTACTCCCTCTATTAAAATCTCATTTTTGTCTGCAGATAAATTCCAAAACTAATTACATATCTATTAGATATGATTTTATGTACAAACTATATACAAAGGAGTTTTTATAGTAATTTTTCAAATACATGGCCTTATCAAGAAGCAATCGCTCAAATTAATAAAATCTTACTGGTGACACACTGAAGTGGAAATACCCTTGTCATTTGCATCTCCAGAAACACTTCCAAGTTCTTCATTCAATATACAAGTTTTGTGCTCACTTTTCACAGAACTATGTGCTTGTAGTTCTGATACCTCTCCTTTTGAGTTTTTATCCTTTGAAACAATAGAGGCAGCTCGATTTGAACGGACGGCCTCGGTGGGATTTTTCTTTTTGGTCGATAAAGCATCTAACTGGTCTCTAACTGTATTTACTAAGCGAGCTACACAATCCACAACAGCAGATTCCAGATCTTGTTGATCTTCTTTTGAGAAGTGATGTCTGCTTCTAGATTTTCTTTCAGATGAACTTTTAACCCGAGGTATGGTACTTTTTTCAGGAGAAGAATTTACAGTGCTGGAAGGCACTTCTGATAACGGAATTATTTTAGCACATTTGTTTGGACTATGTTTATGATCTTCTGCATGCTTTCTTTTTTCTTTTTTTAGGTGTTTTATGTGAGCTCTGTCATCATACTTACTAGAACTCTTGGAAGTCTTTATTTCAATGGCTCCATTTTTCTTTTCAACAGGCAAAGAACTTCTTTCAGACTTAACTTTATTAGCTTTTTCAAGTTTACCATCCTCTGATTTTAGATTGATTTTTGCACTTTCCTCCAACTGCTTATTTATAGTTGCTTCCTTTTTTATATTATTCTCTTTTAATGAAGTACTACTTTTTGATTCTTTCTGCAATAACGAGTTCCCGTTTTTGCTTGAATGCTGAGATTTTTTCTTGGGCATACAACCACTTCCAATATCATTTCTGCCAGCTAGAACTGGTTTAACATCCAGACACTTTTTTGAACTCTCTAAAGCACTTTCAACATCAGTACCTTTCGCAGAATTTTTAGTATAATCATTAACTGGTTCCTGTTTTATATGTTTAGAGTTAAAATCACCCACTTGATTCCTTTCAGCATTCTTAGACATCTCATGCTTAACATGAACTTTACTGGATGTTCCAGAGTTATTTCTCTTCTTAGAACTCGAAACTTCACAGCTGTCAAGTTTTGATTTCTTATCTTTAGGCTGTGAAGCATTTGCATCACTCACATTATCACTTGGAGGAATGTAATACTGTGCTAATCTAACATGCCAAGCTATACTAGTCACTGCACTTACAGTTCTGAACTGGTGTATAATATTTCGTGGTAAAAAATAAATATCATTATCACACAGTTGAATACGAGCATAGCGTATTCCATCACGATGCAGCTGATTCAGTTTTGCATCTTCCACCCATTGTACGCACTAAAAAAAAAAAAAAAAAAAAAAAAAGAGGGGTGGCTGATTTTAAATTTGCTTAAAATTTTAAATACTAAAATATCACAATACAAATTCTTAACTAAAAATTCAGATTTCTTAAATAACTCATAAAAATCAGAGGCAATAACAAATGAGAAATTTCACATATTTTAAAATTATCAACACCTTCACAAGAGATTTTTAAAAGAAGTTTAAATAGGATTAAAAAAATGCATTACACAGTGCTTAAAGCTATTTTCTGCGACAAAATTAAGTTGCTTACATTTCCTATACAACTATGGCACTTAATGATTATTTGATAGGATGTTTGTGCAAATGCTTCAGAATTTAATTCAGAAGTCTATACTGACCTTTGTAACCATGCATATTAAAAGAGTTACAGTCAAAAGTCGTTAATTCGGACACCCATAATCCGGACCTCAAAGCTAAAAACTTTCTGCGCATGCGCCACTGCGCGTAAGACCTCTTACGACTGCGCATTTGTGTGTGCGCAAGCGCAGAATACGTTTTCGCGTTCACGTTTTATGTATAACGAACGGTATAATTTCAGTTAATGTTCAGTTATCTATTTCAGTTAATGTTGATGATTGCGTTGTTCCTTAATTTTCAAATTGTATCTGGCTTGTTATTTTTTGCAGACTGTAAGAGCAATACTATAAAAGTAAACTTGAACTTTCGATTATGTCAAATAGAATTTCCGAATCTGGAGCTCCCAAAGGATCGTACAAAATGAAAGTATGTTTCGATGTCCATCAAACAAAAAGTGGAATTGCTGCAAAAAATGGATAAAGACATGAAGAATGTGACAGAGAGGTTAGTGAAAACGAAAAAATTTCGATTGACAAGTTAGTCAGTATTCTCGGCACAGCAATTAACGGGACTTGAACAGCGGAACATTGTAACTAAACAAAAAAATTATGTCTGTTTATAGAATTAAAGAGAAAGTATTATCACATAAAACGAAGCAACTTAAACAACTTACATTGAAAGAAATGTTTAATAAAGTAAACAAATAAATATTAAGCTTTTTTTTGTAAATTTTGATACCCTTTAGATCATAATTGTTCTTTATTTCATAAATTACGGTTTCATATTTTTAATTTTAGAATTTCTGCATGCTATCTTACACGATTTAAACTGATGATCTATAATCCGGAAAAATCGATAAGCCAGAATTGCCGAAGTCCCGACGAGTCCGGATTAAAGACTTTTGACTGTATTCCATTTGTATTCCCACCAATCACTTACCATTATATAACTATCATTTAATCCAGATTTTTTATATATGTATAATTTGATATATTACTGAAAACAGATGACGTGGCATTCTACAGAAATACTTGAAGTTTTGATGATACATATGTATGCCAAAAATATTTAACATTTATGTTTATATAAAAACTGAAAGTTTATTTGTTAATTTACATATAATTACATAAGGTGAAACTGGCAAATAATTTTCTTGACAATAACAAACTATTGGATTTTCATTTGAATTATTTTTGAATTTTTTGGTATTGATCTTGTAGGTTTATTGCTTTACATACCACAACAATTCATGTTTTTATTCAATAAACTAAACATGTTTCATACTTAATTTGTACTCATATGTTTCTGTAGGGAATTTTCCTTTTTTTTTTTTTTTCATTGTGAGGGGTGTGTATGAAGGATACAGGGGTGTAAAGTTTTGCATACACCACCAGATACTACCGGCAGCACCTTCCTAGACAATACCAAACTGCTATTATTAGTCATACAATATACGTACTGGGAACAATCTAACACAAATACCGTCGAGTTTGATTTTAGCTGTTATAGAGGCATGCTGATTCCAAAACTATAGTTAGGTTTCTTCTACCATAACCAAGTTTTTTCTCTACACTTTATGAGAATGTGACCACTGTCCATGGCATCGAATGCAGATCATAGGATGTAATACTACTCTCCCACTGGCTGACATAAACCACCTGATTGACGGTGTATAAATAATGTTGTAGGAAAACAGCTACAGGTCTTGTCTAGAATAGTTTGGTTACACCTGTGATACTGTATATATATATATATATGTGTGTGTGTGTGTGTATATGTGTGCGAACTGAAACCTTTTCTTATGTCTGCCTCTGTTAATTTGTGCTGTTCATTAGTTCTGTTTGTGCTTAAACAGCCCGGAAATGGCAGGTAAGAGTCATTTTTAGGCTTTCGCCACTATTAAGGTTAGAAGTGGTGGTCATTTTATTATGAAGGCACTTAACAAGCAGCCACCATTACTTTATGATATCCATGCCTTCTCCAGGATTCGAACTCGGTACAGTTGGTATCGCAGTCTCCTCTCCTAACTACTATAAGCTACTAGTTTGTTGCAATATCACATGAGATCAATACATTTGTGTTGTCCTTAAAATGGTCTGCTTCCTCCTTGGCCTGCAATACAAACATACCAAGCATGCCTGTTTTTTGTGTATGTAAGGCGGCTGTTCCCCAGTGTGACACTTGGTGAGACATGATCAATAATAAATACTGTAATAATACATTGTATTATTCATTTACAATGTACCTCCTCTCTTTCACATACATATATTCAGTGATTATGTACAAAAATATTCTTGAAACACACTCATTTTGGATTTTTACCAAATCATTCTGGCAAAAGCATTACTTATCATCAACTAGTAAAACCTGAAATGCAACAATGAAGGTGAAAAATATAAAATTTTAACTCAGTATCAGAATACTATTTTAATTTACTACCACTTTTATATACTTTAAATAAAAATGATAATTAAAAATACAGATTCTGCACTGCAGATAACCATATCATATATTAAAAACTGATATTCATGAAATTATAACTGAGTGTTAAAATGTTTCAAAATGCACAGAGTTTAAAGAATAACTGAAAACTAACACCTGTACACACATAATATGTTCCCTTCCATGGGTTCTACTTTAAAAGGTATATCCTAAAATATCTGTTACCACAATAAATATGAATGCCATATTTTTTAATTAAAAAAATAAACTCAGTTGAACTTTAATAGTTAATAAAACATCATGAAGAAGTATATATGTATTAAAAAAAAAACTTAATATTCTATACATGTTCCTAAACACGAATACTGGGAGATACATGAATAGTTAATAAATTACAAATTATTGAAAAACTTTACCACTATATAAATACACAGAGCAAAATAAATTTACATAAAAGACATTTTAAATTTATTTTAATGCCAAGGATAACCATGAAATCATACCTGAGATACTGGAGGCTCATGCAAATCTAACTGCAATTTTTCGACTAATTCATTGAAGTCACCAGCATGAAAGGCAACCACATCTTTGGTTATACGATTAGAGGTATATCTATCAAAATGATACATGAAAACATTCAGTGTATGGTAATACACAATCTATCACAAATATTTTAAAAACTTTTAAACAAAAAATGAATTTCACAAGCACATACACACACACATATATATAAATTTATGTATGAATTATTTATAGATATAATTCATAATAATTTATAATAAAAAAACTTTCTATATACCATTTCCAAGGAACACAAATTCAATTTAAAACCATGAACGAAAAAAATTTTAGTCAATTTAAATTAGTATTTTAAAAAGTAATTTCAATCTCCTTGTTTAAAAAAATCTGCTAAGAAAAATCTTTAATCGCAAAAATACCAAAACCAAATTTTAAGTATTGAAAAAGTAGCAGCTAATGTCATTGATCGCAGATTAATCGACTTATCAAGAGGATAAACCAATCTACCATCAATTAACAATAACTAAATAATTAAATAGAGAGTGTTTCATCTTACTTCCAAGTAAGCATAATTATTTGCTTATATGTATATATATGTACATATATAATATATACTTTATGTCTTTACTTATATATATATATATATATATATATATAAGAAATTTAGAACCACTTTTTGATGGAAAAAAAATCATAAGTAACAAGTATTTTAGTTTTAACATTTATAAACTTTTTTTTTAACATTTATAGGATTTTATGAAATTTATTTCTTATGAATTTCACTTTTTGGTCTTTGCGAAAAACTGGTTCTAAATTCTCATGTTATGTCTTTACCGGTAATTTTTCAGCAGCTTAATACACGGAAATACAAATTGTATAGCTTCTAAGTTTTATATGAAGCTAAATAATATTCTTAAAAGCATCTGTTTTTTCCCAAAATTAAAGCATTAAAATAATAATTCAGAATTAAATAAAATTAAGATTTTCTTAAATCAGAAAAAATAATTCACCTGTTTTTTTATACGCGATCAAACAATTATCAACAGTAGTAAGGCTAATCCAAATGAAGAAGCAAGTTGATTAATTTTTTAATGGTACATCTTTATCCCATAGCTTTTATTCAATTATCACTGTAGATATTTTATTAACTTATTCTAACAAAGAGAGCAAGTGCAGTAGCGTAGACCCTAAAGGCACAGAGAGAGGAAAGCTTCTGACGCAAAATGGCGCCTATTTGTTATTTATAGTAGCGGTTAGGTAATAGGCTAGCAAATTCTAGAAGGTACTGGTCTAGGGGAAAGATCCCAAATTGCAGAAAGTTAATTAAAGTTTGCGTGTTCGTGAAAAGCAAAGCCATTGTATTTTTTTATATTTTTCATCTCCCCTCCCCTCAAAACAAGAGGCCGGATGAGCAAAGCATTAGCAGATTAGTGAAGCAGGAAGTATGAGGAAAGACATGAATAAACATCCAGGACATAGCTTACAAGCTTTAACTACGTCCTATCATAGATCATGATCTTTTCTCAAAGAATTGTAAAGTTTTTGAATTACACAATTTTACAATGATTTATAATTAAACATTTAACTAAATTTTACATGGAAAAATAATAATAATAAATAATTTATAAGCATAAAAGTCCTCAATTTTTCATAAAATGGCCCTCTTGATGCCAGTAAGTCCAGCTTATTTTCATCTTGTGGATTAACAAATTCACAAATATTATGCAGTTTTTCCAATAAATATGATTCAATAATAATTTTTGAATAGAAAATGTTTAAAATTTTCTTTTCATATAAAACTTAGAAGATATACAATTTATACCATTTATGAATAATGTATTATGTGCATTCATTCTTCTCATCGTAGGTAATTAACAATACATTGACATATTTGAAAATAGTTTAAAAATTCAATGCAAAACATCACGATACAATTCAATATAAATATGACATATTTGAAAATAGTTTAAAAATTCAATGCAAAACATTACGATACAATTCAATATAAATAAAATACGATGGCTTTGCTTTTCGCGAACACGCAACCTTTAATTACCGTATACAAAAAAAAAAAAGACTTCAAAGTGGGGGGTCGACTTATACGCGGGGCCATAAAAAAATTAAAAGAATTGGAAGTTCAAAAATTTCTTTATATAATGCAGTTGTTTTCTTCCCGCACTTAAATTGGACGACTTATAAAATAAGTCACTTGAAGTAATTTCATGACTTAAATTATGTGACGAACTAATCACAGAGTTTCATACTTTAACTAGAGTAAGTTTCGATTAAACCAAAGAATTTTCGGCCCCGAACAACCGATCAATAAAAAAGTTTCACCAACACGCCAAGGAAAGAGAAATGCAGATAGTTTTTACGTACGTATAAGTCTTTATAATAGTTATTGTTCATTCATGAAATACTTTTATTAACAGGCGTACACGTCAAAATTAAAAAAAAATAGCCCACGCAATAACTGAACAGTTTTGAATATTTCTTTTAACTTTTAAAAAAGGGGAAATGTAGATAGATTTTACCGTAAGCGTGAAATCTTTTCCGGAACAAATTCTAGAAGGTTACTATATACGATCATTTTTCCCCAATTATTCTGCGTTTTGGATTCCGTAATTCCGGGAGGATTGACATCCGTCAGTCAACCCCTAGATGTCTGCCACAATCAGCCTTTCAAAGTAAATGTTAGAAAATATTGGGCAGAGTGGATTAGTTCCAGTCGACCAACATTTACAAAGGGAGGCAACATTAAAAAGCCCGATATTACATTAATTGCTCAGTGGGTTAAAGATGTTTGAAACGAAATACCCTCTGAAATGATTGTAAAATCATTAAAAAAATGTTGTATTAGCAACGAACTAGACGGCACGGAAGACGATGCTGTTTTTGAAAGTGAAAATGACGACGAAGGCTATAGTAGTGATTGTAACAATACAGAGTTCGAGACTGAAAATATGTATGATGACGAGCCAATGTCGACAGAAGAGTTCTATGAAATGTTTGGCGAATCTGACCATGAATCGGACGTTGAAGGATTTTGATTTTGTTTATTTACCAAGGTATTTTTTATCGTATATTTACTTTTTTTTCTCAGATGATTTTGAATAAATGTAGTACTTAAAAAAAAATGTTTCGAAGTTTCTCGATCGATTTCGGAAGTGAGGGGTTGACTTGTACGCGGGTTTCTTATTTTCTACGAATTTTTTATGTCGAAGTGTGTGTGTGTGTGTGGGGGGGGGGTCGACTTATATGCGGGTATATACGGTAATTTTTTGCAATTCAGGATCTTTCCCTTAGACCAGTACTTTCTAGAATTTGCTCAGGGTTAAACAAAAGGCCTAGCTTATTCCTTTGTGTGACTCCTCACCAACACGATCCTCGTCAGGGAGTTAACAGGAAGTAGTCTCACGTCACTATGTTGCATTTGATCTAACTTCGTCTGTTTAAAATTAGCAATGTGTACAGCCCAAATTAATTTTAATTGCATATATTGTTTTCTAAAGCAGTGCCAAAGTCAAACTGGCGGCCCACAGGCCCTCGAAGTAATTTTATGCTGTCTGTGAATACATTTCCCGTAAATTAATTAGCATTATGACAAGAATTTGAAGAAAATGTTTAAGATTTTAATGCTCTGGAGTCCAGTTTTACATCATATTCATTAACAAAATTAACGTAACTCCTACGAAAGCCTTGAAATACAGTTAATTAATTTACTCTGTGATATAAATCTTGTCAAAGATTTTAAGATACAAATTTGGTTAACTTTTATTAGTTACTTGTCAAACAATAAATATCTTAAGCTACGAATTTTTGCAATTAGAATATTCGCTTATTTTTTTAGTACATTTACATATGAACAGGTTTTTTTCCCCCGTAGTTGAAAATTAATGAATTTATAATAATATATTGAACTACTAAGTCTACTAAAATAATCAGAATGCTGATGAGTATCCACAATTTGTTATGATACTTTTTAGTAGTTTGCATCCAAGATAACAATCGAAAAGTCATGAGCTGGTGTAGCTGAAAGGTATAGTGAAAAGCAAAGATGTTTACAAAAATTAATATACAAATACTATTTTTTCTGTTTTGCGTCATTGAAAATTCTAATAACTACAAAAAAAGAGACTAGGTTGTCATTATTTATTCTGAAGTTTTGTCCCAAATTAAAAGTAAGATACTTAGTAGTTCAATATATTACTATAATTTGAATAAATATATGAAAATTTTAATATTTAGCTCTTAAATTTTAATATGAAGCTGTCTGCTTGAATTAAAAATTGTGACCAACAGAAATTTCTTCCAGATACCAACTTTTAAATGTCAGGCAAAATATAAGTATAAATTTGGTATTTTTCTTTGCGCTATTTTTATTCCTATGTTTTTACATATATCTAGTAAAAAAAGGTTTTAATTTGATTATCAAATTTTGTTTTGTTAAAAAAATAATTCCTTTTTCTAATTCCTTGCACGAAGTAAAGGAAATCACAAAACATTTTGGGTACTATATTTCAAAGAAAATATCCATTTTGATGGCTTTAAAAAATGATTGAATTATGTTGTTCTTATCTTCCGGTTAAGGTTTTTAAGCCTTTAGTTAATCTGCATGTGATAGCTGTAGAACTATCAACAATTTAAAAGTTGTTTAAGTGCAGCTAAACTTAATTTTTCTTACCACAACAGCCATATTTGTTTACATTTGAATCTTAGCAGAATAATAATAGCACCTTAAGCGTCTTTTTGCTGAGAAAGGAAACTTTTAGTTTTGTAAACCGAAAAATTTGCTTTTTTGCCCGCTGGCCGAACAACTTGTTTTTGAGGAAAAACTTTAATTTTAATTGTAAAAATTGTTTTTTTAATTGTTTTAACCCTATTTGGTGTTTTATGTTTTTCTACATCTTTTAATGTTTAATGAAGATATTTTGAGTCTTTATGTATTTTGCCGCGAAGTGAGAACTGAATTAATTGAATGAGAAATAGATCTCCAATGAAATTTGAGGCTATAAGTGTTTCATATTAGCAGAAACTGTTGTCGCCAGTCTGTCTCGGCCAGAGGAGAATGTTTACGAGTAAGGCATGCTCAT